AAAGAGAGAAACAACAAATTTTTAAACGAAGCAACATAGAATAATGTAACTATGTAACAATCGCTAATGGTTTATAGTTACGCAACGAATGACGTATACACAACGATAATCATTGACGATAACAAAGAATGAAATACAAAATTTGACATTCATCGAAAAAGTGCGAGATGAAATTATATTAATTAATGTTTGAGCATCATTTTAATTCTATTATTAGCTTAATTTTGGTGTCATTAAAGGCTATATTTCTAACTGTACATGTTTGATTAAGATATGGAATAAAAATGAGCGATTTTTTCTTTTTTTTTTCTTAAAGGTCATTAAGTAGAACTACTTCCTGTTAAAAATTCCTTTGGTATAATAAATATAAATTCTCTGTTTTTCTTATTCTCGAAATAAATGCTTGATCTAAAGATGAGTATCTGCCGGATACAATTAAATTTCTTGGAATTATTGCGGTTACGTCTATTATAAAGTTTGATTATTCTGAGAGTTGATTATTTCATGCTACATGTATACGTACGCACACATCGCACACTCATTATTATCATCATTATATAGCTAATTTTGTATAATTTCCTTCATTGTAATAAAATATAGATGTCCTTCTGTCATAAAAAGTTGCGATATTTTACTATTTAGTTTACGTATACATTTCATCGTAATGAATAATTATAGTTATTCAAATGAAGATGTAGAGATATGCAAGGACCCAGATAGCCAAACGAAATTTAGCATATGGAACAAATTAATGCCCTGCATGTATTGTTTTCAACTTGTCGACAATTTGCTGTCATTGGAATCTAATGTGAACTGAGTTAGCATCAAGAGGACAAATAAATTTCATGAGTTTACGAAATTGTAAGAGTATACATTGAGAAATAATAAACTCGTCACGTTGACAGCAAACTGACAACTTGCCAGCAATTTGCTGAATTCTAAGGAAGACTTTACGTGACATCAGAACAAGTTTGTGAACACTTTGGCTTTAGTTTGTGGATACCTTGGCTTTAGTTTGGTGAAATTGAATGCGGAATAAGCAAAATGACAACATATTGTCCTCACTTGGCCATCTGGAGACAGATTGCATTTTCAAAACTGATTATGGTGAACTTTGATAACTGATGCTAGGTATTTGACACTTATATAAGAAATGTTTTAATTAGTAGTGTAACAGCTAGTATTATCTAGAAATATTGGTCAAAATATCAGTTATTAAAAACCATTATTTTGGTTAATATTTATTACAAATTTTTTTTGCAACACAAATGAAACAAAGAGAGAACAAATTTTTAAACGAAGCAACATAGAATAATGTAACTATGTAACAATCGCTAATGGTTTATATAGTTACGCAACGAATGACGTATACACAACGATAATCATTGACGATAACAAAGCTAATTCAACATCAGAGAATTAACAATTTATTGTCAAATACATTCTGAAACTAACAAAAAAAAAAACAAAGCAAAGAAACAAAACAACAAATAATTAAATAATTTAGCTTAACGGCTTTTATATTGTATAGGTAACGAAATAATTATAAATTCAGGAAACACAAAGTTCAAAATCAGGACAAAATGTTTAAAATGTTAAAAAAAAAAATAAAGTATCTTAAGATATTTGTAAACGGCAAGAATCCAAAAGATGTTTATCTTATGTCGATTTTAATCTTTGTGTCTGTAAGATATATTTTGCTACAGTTTTAGGTAAATAACTTTTAAATGTGTAAATGAATCCAAATAAACCTTTGCATAAATATTTATTAGAGTTTTATTAGTTTTTTTTTTAATTTGTAATGCTTTGACAAGTGTCCCCTTTTAATTGCTAAACAACTGACAAACAAAAAAATTTAAACAGCGGGGAGCACAGACTTTCACTCGGTAAAACATTTTTCATGCATGAATAATATGTATAAATATGTATAAACATACATAAACACGTATAAATATTCATATAAACATATATAATTATATATTTTTTCTTTTGTAAATTACTTTTTAGTGTAATAAAAATAACAATAATTCGAACATTAAAAATAATTAAAAAAATAATTGCATTGTTAGTTTTAGAAAAAATCAAGTTATGTAAAAAATTGCTCATTCACAATGATGTATAATTTTATTAGGTGGGAAAAAGTTCGTGGCGTTTTTTCCGTTAGATGGCATTAAAAAAACGCCACGAACTTTTTCCTATACTTAATATATATAATTTTATATAAGCAATTTTTTTACATTTTTCCAAACTTTTTTTAAAAATAAATAGTGCGAAAATTATCCAAATTACTTTTAATGTTTTCACGTTATATTATTACTCAAAAATAAAAAATCAATCCTTTTTTCTTTTGTAAAATTACTTTTTAGTATAAAGGAGCATTTATATTAGCCGTATGCCGTAATCTGTAAGAATTGACTAATCACAATCGAGTATTCCCCTCTCATTCGACTATAAGAAGGGAATACTCGAAGGTGATTGGTCAATTTTTACAGATTACGGTATATACAGCATACGGTCAATATAAATGCTCTTTTATACTAAAAAGTAATTTTATAAAAGAAAAAAGGATTGATTTTTTATTTTTAAATTGTTTATTTATGGAATAATTACATTATTTGTTTTATAGAAGTATAAAATAAAAAAAAATATTTTCTTTATCAGTAGGTACATAATTTTGAGCGGTATAGTGTTAAAACTCTCGTCGCTGCGATCTATTTTTGGATATTTTACAAAAAAAAAAAAACGCCAAATTTAAATATATTTAGGCATGTGGGTATTTTGAATGAATATTCTACACCGTGTGAGAAAATGGTAGTCATTTACTCAAGCTGATTTTTTAAATTCAGAAAAAAAGATGTCAGACATAAAAAAAATTAAATTTGGTAAAGAAAGAAGGATGTATGAGCAAGTATAGACATTAAGGTGGTCCATCTTTACTCTCGGAAACATTTTTTTCTTTCCACACTACTCCTCAAAATAGTTCAATTCACAAAATAATAATTCCTGTCAAATTTCAGCTCGATCGGACAGTGCCGACAGTTAATTAAACATTTGAGTTCCCTCATGTTATACTTTTAACATTCTTTAAGTGTATTTTCCACAAATATCAGAGAATTTTTTTTTTTTTAACATGTTTTGCTTTTCTGCATCGTTTGAGACCTTATATGTCTCATTTAAACAATTACGTGTATTGTTATTGATTAAAAAAATAAAAATAAATAATTAGTGTAATTTCGTATATACAAGTCTTTCCTTTTTGACATTTGATTATTTTTGTGATGTTTTCCAATTCAGCAAACGAGAATGGATGGAAATGAATTGAAATGGATTCAGATTTTCAGAAATATTGATTCACGAATGTTAAATGAATGCTTTTCAATTCTGAATGCATTTTTCTTTTATAGGAATTACATGGAGCATATGTCTATGCCTTTCAATCTCAAAATAATATTAGCTTTTTCTGTGCAAAAACACAATTGTGAATACTGTTCAAAATTTTGAATAGGAAATGCAGTTTTTCAATCCAATTGCATCCAATTGAATCTAATTGAATCCAATTGAATCCAATTAAATCTAAAAAAAAGTATTCACTATTTAAAATACGCATTCGGATAGAAAAAAATTTCAATCCATTTTAATCCATTCTCATCGTTTGCTGGAGGATTCCGCATAGTAAATGAACAGAGAACAGGGAATAAGAATTTCAATCTATCAGAAATTGTGTATTCCACAATACATTTCTGATAGGTTGAAATTCTTATGCCCGTAGTCAAATCTTATATTTAAGGCTTTCTTAAATTTATCTTCAGATACTCTACGAATTATTTCATTGACTACTGAGCATCTAAAGATAAATATAAGGAAGCCTTAAATATAAGATCTGACTATAAATACAGACATATTATTATAAATACAGGATATTCTCTGTTCTTTGTTTTCTATTTCTTTTATTATGCGGAGCCCCCTTACATTGCTCGAGTCTGCACAGTAAAAAGCTAAGTACATACAAGCGTATAAAATATGTTAATGTTGTCAACTTTTCAAAAAGTTAAAGTTAAAGTTTTGATAGTCGTAATTACTTTTGCAATAAAATCTTCAAAAATCGCCAATTCTGAAAAAGTTATAACTTAAATTTAAATAAAAATCATAAATCTATTATTGATATGCTAAATATAATAAGAATAAGCTCTGTGCACAATAGATGGAATAAGGAATCAGAAATCGGATATATCGGAATACACAGTTTATGATAGGTTGAAATTGTTTATTCTTTATTCCTAATTCCTTATTCCTTCTATGTGCGCAGAGCCTAAAGCCCGATGTCCACGACATCAGGCTTTAAGCCCTAGAAATAGGTCCGAGACCTCGAACACAGAAAGAATTAACAAATCACATTTGAACAATTTAGTCACATGACAAATGCGGTTAATCAATTTTTTTCTTCATCCGAGATTTTGGACTGATTTCTAGCATCATGGACGTTATCACTAGCAGACCTGGTACGCACTCAGTGCACTTTAAAGCGTTGTACATAAATCGACATAAAGATGTACGTTTAATAAAAATACAAAAATAAACCATGAAATCTTTACATTTTATTGTGGTATTTGATAAAATACTTAGATATTTTATTAATCGAAATCTCTCACTTACAGTCAGATTAGATTAATGTACAACAGTTGAGTGCGCACCAGTTCAGCTAGTAAAAAGCACTATAAACTGCGTTCGAACAAGTACTTTACACAGCGGCCTAGTTTCCAAAGATTTAAGCCGGATTAGAAAATAAGAATCAACTACAGTCGAGTATTCTCCTGTTACAGCCGAACGATAGGGGAATGTTCAACTATAGTTGATTGGGTTTTACATTCTGATTCGAATTAAACTTTTGATGGAAACTAGGCTTCTGTATCCTAGCTGGAAAATATCTTGTAGCAATTTTCTGATTGGTCAACACTGCGCGTTTCAGGAGCGAAACAACTTAACCTATTTTAGACCAAACAGATCAGACTTCATATCGTCAGTCATTAGAAGCACTGGTAGTTAGTTCTATCAACTTTTTTGACAAACAGTATGAAATTACAACTGTCAAACCTGCCAAACTATTTTATGGAACATGGGAGATAAAGGTATTTGATTATCTTTTCTTTATTAACGATTATATAAAATGTGTAAATAAAATTTTGTATGTTTAGAGCATCATGTTCACTTTAGTGGTGGAAGTGGATTTGGAAAAGATAATAATATTATGATACAGCCACAGCGACATGGTCATATAGATGCTCATTTAGGGTTCTTACAATTGTATCACAGGTTATTTGTTATATATAGAATTTATATAAATATTTTATAATTTTATATTGGTTTGATTGCTATGCTAATTTTAATTTCTTAAAATTTTAATTTCTATCAATTACAATTATTTAGTAAAATTAGTAATATATACAAAACTATATTAGGAAAGAGAATGCATATATTAATTTTTCAATATTTCATATATACAGGGTGAATCCAGAGTCATTGAACCAACTTTTTACTTTATGAGAAAATTATCGACTTCATACCTAATTGAGTTATAACATGTACAGTCAATGTTTTCATTCTGATTTACTCTGTATATGTATATATGATATATTTATTTCAGATATCATGTAGAATTTTCAGTACCATGGAACACATGTATTCATCCAGACGAAAAGACAGTAGCTCCGGCAGTAATTGCAGGAAGTCACAATGCAAATTGTCATATTGTCGATTTTGCACAAGAAAAAGATGGCTTAAGGTACAACATTG